AAATTTTAATTTAAAATTGATATTTAAAAGTCAAAAAAATTAAAAGTTATATTAAAAATAACCGAAGTAAGTGTTTGAAATAAAGGCCTAGTGGAAGATTGGGTATACAAAAGAGTTGTGAAAATTAGTTTATTATAGAGTCATCAATAATTGTACAACCACTGCAAATCATAAAATTAAAAAATAGACTTAGTGGAAGACTTTTGTTAAGACTTAGTACATTACAGAAAGTGCCATGAAAGAGCAGACTCTGTCTAGCTTAGTCTGTATCTTTGCCTTTGCTTTATTTATTTATTTATTATTAAAAAATCGATTGATAATGGTTTGCGTTCTGATTATCAATTCTAGTGAAATACAAGAAATTGTATGATTTGTATCTGTAATCATTAACATAGCAATGGAATTAGGTATTATAATATGCTTAGAAATTTCACTACATGTATGATGTATCAGGTGCTCTCAATGAACACCAATGACTATAATCAACAAAATCTTTAGAGTTAAATTTCGGTTCCTTTGTCAAATAGTTCACCATTAATGGATTTATGAATTAAGCATCTTTTTCATATTCTGACAATTAATTGTGTGATGTTAAAAATTGTAATATTGATATTCAATTCTTGTAACATGTTATGAACTATATATCTTTATGATGGCTAGACAAGATCCAGCTTTCCAATATGAGTGGATATGTCACGTTGAGGAAGGCTTATTGGAAGACTACGTCTAAAAAAGAGCTGTGAAAATTAGTTTATTATAAAATCATCAATAATTGTACAACCACCGTATATTATAATATTAAAAGAAAGACTTAGAGGAAGACTTCTGTTGAGACTCAGTGGAAGACTACATCACAAAAAGAGCCATGAAAGAGCAGACTCTATCCAGGTTAGTCTTCGACTTTGCCTTTGGTTTTTTATTATTTGTTTATTTATTTTTTATATCGATTGATGATGGTTTGTGTTCTGATGATCAAGTGTGGTGGAATCCAAGAAATTGTATCTGAGTTCGTGTAGCCTGTGTCATATTTAGACACCCGACCTGAAATTAACGTCTCGGGCTCAAGCCTGAAAATATTGGGCCTCTCCTGGGGGGCCAGTCCAACAAACAGACTCTACCCC